TCATAAAATAATTCCTATCTACCACTCTCTTACTGAAATCTTCCAGAATTCCAATGGCATGCGATCCCCCTCATTGCAGTGAGTCAATAAATCTAATCTGGCTAAACTATTGGTATGTTCTTTTCTTTGGTTAGAGGTCATTGCCATGTTATTTAAGTCTCAAAGCGACCCAAACATGCCCAATTTAAAGGTGAAGAAAATAAGGCTGTGAGATGTTAAAGTTAACATCATTAAAGTTAACATCAGATAAAGTTAATCATTTGAAAAAATGTAATTGAAAATGCATTCTGCACCTACTACTTGAATCTGGAAATGTAAGTTAACACATTTTAAAGCTAATATAGTTAGTTTTTATATTTTATCTAATTTAACTTCCACAACACATCTGCACATGATAAAATACAGATTCAAAGAAATAAATTTCTGTTGCAGGGTTCAAGGGTAATGAGAAATAGTCAGGAGCACCTTGAGACAACAGTCATTTTGTGGTCGTGTGTCCTTAGTTACATTCCTTTGACCACTATTTCTGAGCAGAGGAGTTTAGCAGTGATCATGAGCCCTGGGATCAGAGTGTCATTGTTTATAATTCTGATACAGGCATTTGTGTGATCTTGGTCACATTATTAGACTTTCTGTGTTTCAGTTTCCTCATATGTAAACTAAGAATAGCAATCACACTAACTATATGAAGTGATTGTGAGGACTGTATTAGTAAATGCCTTGTGCTTAAAACAGTATGTGTTATCTAATAAATGCTCAGTAAGTGGGTATTTTATTGGAACCAGAATTCAAATTAAGATTCTGAGTCTTCACAACCCATGTTTTTGTTTCTTGTTTGTTTGTTTGTTTTGCTTTGTTTTTCATAATAGGCATCTCTTATCAGAGAGGATTCTCAAAAGAAGAGCAATATTCGGTGGGATTAGACACATGATCAGAAAAGTAATTGGCTCAGAAGATGAGGGGAAATATAAAGTCTCTTTAGACTTCTGAGGCAAGACAAGAAATGAAAGAGTTAAAAATGGTAGAAGGAGTAGGGTCATGTTTTCAGATCCCAAGAGTTTATGGTAAAAAGTCACCAGAGATGATGGAGTAGAGCTGATTAGGAAACAAGCATTTGAGGAAAGGCTTCTTTGAGCTCACCTCCACAGGGGAGAGGCAAAATTGTCCTGGGTCCAAGTACCCTCCTAGGAATCTCCCTTGAGTCTGATTCTTACCTTCCCTGTGCCCCTGTGACCTGAAACAGTGAATGTTAAATCTAGGGACTCTGCCTCCGGGGGATAAGACTCACTGAAGAGAATAAAAGGCTGCTAGATACAGTTTTCATCCCTCACACATACACTGAGCCAAACAGGACCAAAGCAGACATTGAACGATGTTCAGTAGTTGGTAGGTGAACTGGGGGTTACACTAACTGTATTGATTGTTGATCAAAAGGGTGGTACCAAAGATGAGGGGTTTGAAAATATACTATTTTGAAATCAGACAATTGGTTTAGTGGAAAGATGACTTAAGCAACAGAGACTTGAAATAATCTATTTTGAGAATCTTAGAGAAGTGGCTTGGCAGAGGCTTTAATGCCATCTTGTCCACTATCCTCATCATTTGATTCTCAAATACATTCTACAACCTACAAATTGGCTAACACCTCCTATGAAAATGTTGAGAGACAAAAAGTTGTCCTGTGTACTGCCACAGACTGGCCATGTGCTGCCACAGACAGTGAAAAATAGAGGTATCTGAAAAAAATTCATAAAATAGAGACTGTAACTAAAAACGTCTGATGAGGTATAGCCAGTACCCGACTTCTGATGGCTCAACATACAATTTTTCCACTTGACAATGGTGTGAATGCAATACAAACTGAGTAGAAACTGTAATTTTGTACAGTATGCAATCAATTACATGCGATATCTACCACATCATTATAAAATAGGCTTCCTGTTAGATGACTTTATCAAGTTGCAAACTAATGTAAGTGTTCTGAGCATCTTTAAGGTAAGCTAGGCTAAACTATGATATTTGGTAGGTTGAATATATTAAACACATTTTCAACTTACAATGTTTCAATTTATGGTGGATTTTATTGTACACAGCACCATCATAAATTGAGGAGCATCTTTATTATATCCCTCAGGAGCAACTGAACTTGAAAAGACTTTACCTAGAGAAGGCCTTACACAAGTTCTCTAATTGGGGAATTAAAGATACTGGGTGATTTCAAAATTTAGGGTTCAGAGGTCTTCAGTGTGCTCCTGAAATTATTCTATATTTGCTAGACTTTACATGACCTGTACAAACAATTGGCCTCAGAAAAGCCAATATTGTAGAAAGAGGCAATGTCGTCATAACAGTTCGCTGCACACAAATGGCGATACCAAATATTTCTTGAATTTTAATTTCTCTGGTTTGATGAGAGTAATAATGGGTTAGGGAAAGTGTGGATAGACAGAATTTGAGATGTTAAGTTTATTAGGATATATTGAGCTTGAAATGCTGAGAGTACAACAAAAAGGCTATGTTCAAATATGATTAAAAATGCAATTTAAATTCAAGCTAGATAAAAAAATCAAATACATTAAAAACATTAATTAAATTCATAATACTATACTTACTTTTCTGAGAATTAGTACGACGATAAGCAATAATTAATGAAGTGGTACATTTACTGTCAAAGATCTTAACAATTTGGGAAGAAGACAGAACTAATAAAAAGGTAATATATTATACTTAGTGTCAGTATTATGAGGGCATAGAAGAAGAAATAAACAACTTTTCCTGGAAAAGCCAGGAAAAGTGTTTACTTTAAGGAGTTAATATTTGACCAGATTTTAAAGGATGAGAAGCAGTTTCCAGATGGAGAAAAGAAGAGAGGCAAAACAGAAGCAAATAGCCAGAAAGGGCAAAGGTACCAGAAACAAAATGAAGCAAGGATGTCTGTTTTAACATATCTGTCACCTGTAATTGGAGGAGTCAATGCACAGTCTCTTTAGAATAGAAGAACTTCACTAAGAGTTAAGTACCAATTGTTTTGAATGAATTCTAAGATACCGAACCCAAAAGTTTATTTCTACTGCAGGGCAATTGAGTTTGAGAGAAATGTTTGGAATTGAGTAGGTGATATAAGTTGAAGGGAAAGTATTGGCTTACTAGTTATTAAATTAGTAATTTAAATTAATTGGTTTGATTAAACAATTCATTTTTATTAAACACCTTTGACAGCTATTCTTGCAATTGTTAGGGTGTCAAAAATAAGCAAGAGACATGTTTTGTCAGTTTGACTGGAATTGGACAGCCTTTTTCAAATGCAGTGTGATTTGCACAGGGTGAGGTGTGAGTGACACTGGCTACCATTTTATGCACTTAAAGTCACGTCGTTTGTGTTTTTTTGTAGTACTTTTCCTTTCTTATCTTTTTGCATCTGCTTCACATTTTGTTTGAGAATAGTTAGAATGTTCGATACTTTTTTTCTGTAAAATTTCACCAAACCAACTATGTGCTCCTCACCTGTATTTATATAATTGGTTTGCTAAAAATACAAGATTGATGCTTATTGCCACATTATCATGTTTGCTTCTGAATCTGCATTCTCACACCAAATGTGTTAACTACACCACTCATCTTCCCATCATCAGCTCCCACACTGAAAATTTGCACCTTCATCTCTGAACTTGAAGTCAGAATAGTTAAATTTCAGTAAAATTTTAAAGATCTATATATGGCCATGTCACTCATCTATGTAACATTCTTCAGTGATTTCCCACATCTACTGTGATATGATCCCAAATGATTGAGTAAGTTCTCCCAATTGCCTTACCATAGAGGGGAACATATGTTCCCCTAACTCAGGTCGCTTGCTGTTCACAACCCTTTTTTTTTCTGGTCTGCAATGTATCCTGTTTTATTTAGTTGATTCCTACTTTTCTTAAAAATATTCAACTCAAAAGATTCCTTCTGTAAGAAGGAATGAACCTCTTCTTGGGCATTCTGTAGTGTTGTGTACTTCACAGGTAACACTGAGATGACTGGTGTTGTAACAAGGTTGTAAGCTTTCTGGTGTCAGAGAATGTATCTTGTTGAGTTTTGTACTTCTTATGCTTGACACATATGTATTCAATATATGTTTATAGAAGTAAAATGAACAATTAGAAGAAAACTTGCTACTGTATTAATCTTCTTCACAAAATTCACACTTTGAGAATTGACTGAGAGAAAACTATGATCTGGGGAGAAGAGATAGAATGTTTGGGAATAGTCACATGTTTTAGAGGTAAACAGTATGGAATCAGAGTTCATAAATTCAAATTTGGTTTCTGTGAAATAGTATCTATACAAAATAAAAACATGTCATGAGCTCTCTTTTTTCTCTGTTTCTGAGTTTTATCATTTGTAAAATTGATATAACAAGGGTACGTTATCTCATTGGACTATAAAACTTCAGTGAAATATTGAATGCAAGACACAAAAATGTTTGTTGCATAGTAAGTGCTAATAAAAGTTACCTATTTTTTTTTGGAATAGTATTAATAGTTTACTACTATTAATACTATCCTAGTATTAGTAGTAATATCACTTTACTAGTAAGAGTAGTCATGAAAATTCAGCCTTTAAATTGGAGGGAGGAAGAAGTTTTTTTTTTTTTTTTTTTGAGTTGGAGTCTCACTCTGTCGCCCAGACTGGAGTGCAGTGGCTGCTCCCGGCCACCGCAGTCTCGACCTGCTGGGCTCCGGTGATCCTTCCACCTCAGCCTTCCGAGTAGCCGGAATTACAGGCATGCACTACCACGCCCGGCTGATTTTTTGATTTATTGTAGAGATGAGGTCTCGCCAAATTGCCCAGGCGGGTCTCGAACCCACAGGCTCAGGCAATCCACTCACCTCAGCCTCCCAAAGTGCTGGGATTACAGGCTGAGCCACCAGCACGGCTGGAAGAAGATTTTGTCTTGTACTTACCAGTTGCCTCAATATGGTGTTTTCTCCTTTCCTTCTGTACCTCAGCTTCCTATGGAACAATATAACCAATCAAGCCTGGCTGAATTTGCGCTCCTTGGCTTCCCCAAGGTGGGCTATATCAGGGACTGGCTTTTTGTTCTGCTGTTGTTGGCTTACCTGTTAACCATCTGTGGCAACATGCTTATCTTCTTAGTTATACGACTGGATGCAGCCCTGCACACGCCCATGTACCACTTTGTCAGTGTTCTCTCTTTTTTGGAATTGTGGTATACAACCACCACCATCCCCAAGATGCTAGCTAATCTTCTCAGTGAGAAGAAGACTATTTCTTTTGCAGGATGCCTCCTTCAGACCTACTTCTTCCACTCCCTGGGGGCCTCTGAATGCTACCTTCTTACAGCCATGGCCTATGATCGATACCTGGCCATCTGCCGGCCCCTCCACTATTCTGCAATTATGACTACCACACTCTGTGCCAAGATGGCAGCTGGCTGTTGGACTTGTGGCTTCTTGTGTCCCATTTCAGAGGTCATCCTAGTCTCCCAGCTCCCCTTCTGTGGCTACAATGAAATCCAACACATCTTCTGTGATTTTCCACCTCTGCTCAGCTTGGCCTGCAAGGACACATCCACTAATGTTCTGGTGGACTTTGCCATTAATGCCTTCATCATCCTTATCACCTTTCTCTTTATAATGATTTCTTATGGAAGAATCCTTGGGACTGTGCTGAAGATAAAAACAGCAGCAGGAAGGAAGAAGGCCTTCTCTACATGTGCCTCGCATCTCATTGTGGTCCTCATTTTCTTTGGGAGCATCATCTTCATGTATGTGCGGCTAAAAAAGAGCTATTCATTGACCCTTGACCGGACACTTGCTGTAGTTTACTCTGTACTGACACCACTAGTCAACCCAATTATCTACAGTCTTCATAACAAGGAGCTCATTAAAGCTATCAAGAGGATCATCTTTTGGAAGGGGAGAGAAGCTAATGTCACTAACCACTGACTTTCTTCCAAGATCTTCTTCCACCTCAATGATCAACCCATAAGAATTCCATGTACCTTTGGCCTGGTCTTGAAAAATCTTCCCCTTTTTTTGTGACTATTGTGAATGGGATTGTGGTTGTTTTTTTTTTTTTTTTGGTGTTTAAAATTTT